GTGGTGTTCGCTTGTGTTGCTCAAATATCTGACCACGCAGCCGGAATTGTCTCTGTTGTGGACGTGACCTGACCTCGAGTTGAGCACAAGAGGCTAACGATTCTGCATGGAGCGTTCTTGTGCGTCCTAATGAAAGCGGTTGTCATAGCAACAGTAGATCTCATTTCCTCATCGATATTAGCAAATCCGATTAGGGAGTTTCGGTCCAGACCACCTTTTCACTAGAGAATCGACAGTTAGGATCCTAGATTCACTAAAATTCGGATCTTGTGACCCAGTCGCGCTGAAATTTATGCCACACCAACGCACGATTGGGGAAAATCGATTTTATTGATTAGACAACACAACTAACCCGTGGTTATTTGTAGTGCTGCATTGCCTAGGCCCCAGTGGCACCAATTTATCACCAGAAAACACCACGACTTGGCTCTAATCTGGGTCGCCGTCGCTTGACCGCGGCTAGTGTCTCGTCTCCGACGAACTGCCGCATTTCACACCACACAAAACTTTGTGTCACAAGTTGCATTTCACCCCAATTCCAACCACGACCTACAAATGGGTCGCTTCAGTTGTTTAGCATGCTTATCACCCAGGCATCCTTAAATCAGGCTTCCGAAACCCACTCAGAGCACGACCCAACACGAGGTTGTGTGGGTGCGTGTGTGTATACCCTTGCAATAATGTGGCCTGCCACACTAAACCCGTCCTAAAACCAGTTCACGCAGAAATTTCTGTGTCCCCGGAACTTGCAGATCACCAGGCAAGGGGGGTTTGTCGCAAATCAGACGCCCTAACGTGCCCTGGATCCGGTTTCCATGTTGCCTGGGTTCCCGCGTGTAAACACAACCTGTTTATTTCAGCACATTAACGCTCGGTAAACAGCAAATTATGAGCCAGGAAAGCCCGATATGTATTCTGTTTACGTGACCTGTACTATCAACCCAAATTCTGACAATACCGGATGTGCAGTAAAACGGTAATATAATGCACCAGTTAAAGACAGAAGCTCGCTGTTGGGTGTTCGCGTGTACTCCTGTTTGGCAAGCCATCCTAAACCAGTTTCTTACAGTTAGTATGCCTGCCTCATCGCATTTTGGGCGATTGTGAGCAAAAGCGCTATCCGACGCGGTTTGTGGAGCCATCTCAGACTAAACAAGTGATAATGCTACTACAACGTGGGCAGTGTTTATCTCGAATGCCATATGCTACCATATTGTCAAATTTTGAGAGACAAATGAATCGGAAATCAGATGCAATTTCGATGACCTTGAGGCGTCGTAGAACTAACCAATCGGAGGGACATCTGACTGGTGACCTTGTGAGTTAGCTGAACTCTCGAAGTGTGGCTTTTTACTGCCTAGATTTCCAGCGTCAGTCGAAAAGGGTCATTTCTGCGTTGAGATTGTTCTGTAGGCTGAATACAAGCGAGGTTGTTCATCGACTTGCCTGGATTTAAGCAGTGCCTAAATATCACCGTCTGGCTACTGACAACCTACTGAGTTCGGCTAAGTAGCACACTTTAAGGAGACAATAAAGGAACTGAAAATAAGCAATTAAAAGTGAGGTAGACACGCACTAGCACACAAACAACCTCAGATTCGGAACCAAACAACTAAAAGTGCCCACCTTGTGACGTGCGTATTGGTCTAACTCCGCAGCGAGCTCCGTTGCGCGCCTCAGAAGGTCATTGAACGCCGTCTCTAATTGGTCAGCGTTCGTCACGGTAGACCTGTCTGAAAAAAAAACAAAGAGCGGGTTTTTGAAACAAAATAAGTCGTAAAAACTGGCAATTTCTCGAGTTTTGCCATACTTGTTGAATCTCTAGGCGACAAGATTAGCCAAAATGCAGCACAACAAACACCGCAGCAACTTTCCCCTGCGTGGACAAATTCGAAACGCCCGCGTGCGGCGACCGAAACAGCTCAGTAAAACAAGAGGAAAGGACTTTTGTGGCTCACCTAGACCGTAAGTTAGAGCCGCCTTGTAGGCTTCCTGGACCGTTTGATTGAGCTTCTTTATCTGGTCGTAGAGTTGTGAGGTGTTGCCATTGACGACGTCAGAACCACCACCACCACTTCCGAAGACCTCCATCAGCTTCTCGCGCAGGTCGTTGACGTGCTTCTGAACGAGGTTGTAGCAAGGCGGGCAGGGAAGGCACCCAGCTCTTAGATCGTATCGATTTTCCTTAATTTGAAACACAAAACACGTCAACTTCTTTAGCCTGCCTCCTTCACCGTTCCAATTTAACTGACCTAAATAACGATTTTATTGATTTATGGTGTCTTTTCGAGCACGCTTCTCGTTGGCCACAAGCTGCTTATTCGCATTCAATCGATTTCTGACTCAGACTTAGTAGTTAACGGTGATTGGACGGTTGTGTCTGGGGGCCTTACCTCGCATTGGTCGCATTTCTTGCCGGTGGCAAACGAACGACAGGGGCACTGGCCGTCGGAACTGCACTGCCGATGGTTGGATCCGTAGGGGTGACATCCGCAGTCCTGGCATCCGACACCCGTGGTGAGGTTGAAGTAGCCAGGCAGACATTCGTGGCAGCTGCGACCCATTGTGAAGGGGAGACAGTGGCATTGGCCGGTGTAGGGGTCACAGGTCTCTGTCTTGGAGCCCTTGGGACTGCAGCCGCACTCGGTACAACCCTATAAAACGCCGAAAGGGCTGCGTGGTTACTTGCATGCTCATCTTTACCCACTGACACCGTTGCAGCATCTGACACGACAACTGGACCAATCACCGCCTCATTCATCAATCACTCTGTGTAGATGGTAGACTGCACCGCTCCTTACCACACCAGTCACCTGACGCTTATTGATTAAGTTTATCGACTGGTTCCTAGGTCCAAATAAATCCACTATCTTTGTAGCCCGGCGATGAAAATTTACGAGACTCCAACATACACTCAACCAGGTCGTACAGACCCCTTCAAGTTGCATTTTAATTGAAAATTACTCCAAGCCTGGACAAATGTTTAACTCGAAATGTTAGATAAAGTATTATCTCTCCCTTTGGTTTGGATGTAACATCAACACGAGGTAATGTTATTCTGATTAATTTAAACAAAAAAATCCTGCAACAAATTAATTAATTTTCTTAGGAATCCGGCAAAATTGGGATTTAATTTGCCAAATAAAATGTGCTAATTTATTTCGGACTACGGTTACTTTCACTTAAGTAGAAAGACGCGTACAAAGACTAAAATCGATAGCTTATTGGTTGGTTTCCACTTAAGAGCTGATTGGTTAGATCATGGAAGGCGCTATTGATCTGCGAATTGACGACTCGTATGTGGTGAATGCTGGAGTGCGAGTGATTCGGGTGGCACTATGACAACGCAGCATTCCACATCAGTACGGAATGAAATCACTGACCCTGATTTACGCTGCCCCAGAAATCACCCGAAAGGGGTCTACCCCCGTCCCCACGGGAGAGTTATGTGTGTTGCCTTGCATGACCGCTTTCAAGGACATCTAACTTGGAATGAGGACACTGGAAAAGAATACTGGCTTATTTAGGCGCTTGACAAACTTTCAGAGCCTTAATTAAACGCTAATTTAAACAAAAATTTCGATTTTGGCATCGGAAAGTGGGAATTACGTGGACCGTGGATTAGCCACCTCATCTTCCAAGGTCGCATCGTTAACACGAGCTGGACGACTCGTCTGGCATTTGCACAGGAAGCGTCTTGAGTTGCGTACACGTGGTGAGGTACAGCGGTGGATCAAAGGGTAGCTGAGGCACAGTCCCATGACGCGATTTACGACCGGCAGGGCAAATAAAATTGCCCCGATCTCTCCGTAATCTTGCCCATTAATGACGTTTTACGAGCAGCCCAGATATTTGGTGCGGAAAAACCCAGAGCTTTCGTTGCATTTTGGGTGAGGCGAGGTGACAACTACTGGGCGCGTGACTTAAATTTTTAACGAGTTTTCTGCTTTGAGTTTGAAATTATATTGAAAGTTTCACAACACCGAATAACCTTTGAGATTGGCTGAGGTTACGACGATGGCGACTGATACTGATGGCACTGCATTTTACACGAATTCCAACAATTTGTAGTGTTCTTGGTGGTGACGTTGTGTGTCTTATGAAACATGTAACTATTGGTACAAACGCTTGAGAAATGGTGTTTTTGATCTTGGTGACCAGCCGCGACCCCCACAGCAGGCTCTACGTGGTGAAAACTCAACGCGACAGGACAAACACTTCTTGACGCTGGACGATGACGATGATTTCTTTGCCTCGAAGCCTACAAGTTTCTTCCACAACAGCATTCGTTCGTTACCTGAGACATGGCAGAAAACGATGAACAATATTTCCAAAATGAGTTTTGTCAATCTTTTTGCTGAAAAATCTGTGCAAATTGCGTCCTACACCCACAACTTTCAATTTTTTGACGCCAATTTGTACTTTTTGTGAGTTGGAAACAAAAACAACCAACCTTCCCGGATTCAAAGCCGTAGAAACCGTCTCGACACCGGTCACAACGCAGTCCCGTGACGCCGGGCTTGCACGGACACTGTCCGGTCTCCTCGTCACAGACCCCGAGCGACCCCTCCACGTCTGGCGTCGCGAGGGTGCCTTGGGGGTCGCAGTAGCACGGCTGGCAGCCTCGGGCGTAGGTTGTGGCCTCGCTCTCGCCGCCCGACACCCCATCGGTGGCCTTGACGTTCCGACGGTAGCCTGGAAGGCATTTCTCGCAGTGGTCACCGGACGTCCCAAAGAGGCACTTCTGGCACACACCAGTTTGACTGGGAGGAAATGCGTAAACAGACGTGAGAAATTCAAAATGGCGCGTGTGTTTCCGTTTGATGCAGACAAACAACTAAGTCAATTTCATCATCTGGAATGGTTGGTTTCAAAAAGCAGACGGTTTCCCTGCTACTACTCAACTTACGAAAACATCAAACTCACACTACTATTAACAGATTTTAAACTACCGCGAAATGCAACAAGAGGGTGTACGGGAGCCGAGTTAGTTTGGTTGTCATGGTGACGAACGCAAATGCGGGAAGCTACATGAATCGGGCCCTCTCCAGTCAAGAATCTAATTGGTCAATTTCTACTAGTCAAAGTTTGTTCATTAACTGTCACACACAGGAATTTCGTCTAACGATTCACCGGGCTGACATTTGCTTCTCAGATGCTAGAAGACAACCTTGACGTGGGAAGTCGTCGTTACTAGGGGTGAAAAGGAAGAGACTTACTGGTGGCAATTTCCCTTTGCTCGTATGTCGGTGTTGTTGGAACAGTCACAAGGCTGACACGGAACTCCATTCAGCGGGTCGCCAAAGAAGTTTTCGGCGCAGCGCTCGCATCGGGCACCTGTTAAAAAAATAAGGCATGATTTACTTGCTGAGTATTTCTCTCCTAATTGGATGTGGCCTCTCGTCATTCGTGGATTAGCAAAATAAAAACCGAAGCGAATCGAAGCGATAATCAATGCCAAATTACCAGAATCAGACCTTAAAAACGCCATCCATGGCAGTATAGAGAAATCAGAGGCATTAATTGATCCAAAATTCGAAGTATCGATCGGGCCTGATCGATTTGGCAGTGGTTATGATCCCCCTGTTTGAGTGCGTTTTGCGACCAATGAAAATTTTGGACGGGTGGCCAAATTCGATTTCGGGACTTCGATACGTCATTGAGGTGAAATCGAGCGCATTCATCTTTCGTGGGCTCATAACACAACACCACACAAGCCATTTGACCTATTACCATAACAACCTCAGAGAGCGGTTAAACCGTCTAATATATCTCCTCGACTCAACCGCAAAATCAATAAAATCGTTCCCGCAGACATCTTCTTCCCACCAATCACTTTTGTCGCGGAAATCGATCAAGCACTAATGGCCACACCGTACTATATAAAGCCAATATTTTCTACAAATAAGCAATTAATTACATAAAAATGGCGCCAGGTCTTGTGTTTTGTTTGAGTCAATCGAACGCAAATCAGGATTGTGCTGGGAGGACGATGGAAAGTAAATATGCCCATAAAAGTTTGTTTTCTCGAACTAAATTTTGATGTGTGGGTAAACAGCCTCTGGCTTCCGTTCTGATTATTTGAATAGCTGTCCCGGTTTTAGGACTAGTTTTAGATTAATGAATGAAATATTATACAGCCGCCTCGGCCTAGTGCCTGGATAGCGCGTTTGTTACCCCTCGAGGGCATCTTTCATCCTCTCCCTAGTCAGATTTAAACAAGGACAGAAATTTGCCTTAGGAGAATCTGACCCCATCAATTTGAAAATGCCGCGGCAATCTGATTGGTTAAGTTTAAATCACCCGCCAAAGCTGCTAAACGCAGAAAATCGATTTACCGCGAGACTAATCTTAAATGAGTGGTACTCACACGATTGGCGGTTTGGTTGAGTTGGCAGGTTTTGTAATTACTTAAAAGCTACATCAAGATCAAAGTTAGTGAAAAGAAAAATAACTTGTTAGTTTCATTTGTAAGGATTTTACGCATAAACTAAACGGTGTTTAGTTTGAACGCGGAGCGTGAAGATGCCAATAATTGCCTTACCTGTCCTGTTATCAGGACAGTCGACACAGACGACCGAGCTCTGCTCCAGTGGAAGCAGAGTTTCCACACATTTGGACCCGTGTGGGCACGGACAGGGCTTGCAGGCGGCCTCTGAACCTGCTGGAGCAAAGGGGTTGCCATAGAAACCGTCGGCGCAGCGATCGCAGAACAAACCTCCAGTGTTGTGCTGGCAGTCGCATTTGCCTGTAGGAGACGACGAAACGTTCGTCCAGATATTTTAATTAAAACACATTACCTACTTTAATAATAATAAGTAGTAATACAAAACAACGTCGAAATTTGTGGTGGGGAAAACAAAAAAGCCGACACGAGGTCCAAGTTCGCTTACCCGTCTCAGGGTCACAGGTGTCAGAATTGTTATTGCAGGTGCAGGGAATGCACAGGGCCGTTGTGGGTCCTCCAATTGGCTCACGTCGGTACCCCGGGGCACACCGCTCACAGCTGGGCCCAGTGAAGCCCGGTGGACATTTGCAGATTTCGCGACGAACCTCCTCTTGTGGGTCACGCCACACTAAAAGACAAACCAATTCGCCAATCAGTTGTCTTCACGTGATTTTGGAATGCATACGCGCAGTGAAGCCACTTACTTCCACTGACGCAGAACGGACAGTCGTTGGGTCGCTCACGACACAGGCATTCAAGCTCTCCCCGTTGGTTCTGGTGGCAGCCGATGTCGAGAGTTTTTTTATCTGGAAGAGAATTTTTACCTTAGCCATCAATCGACGCATTCCCGGCATTTCTGTTCACTACAAATTACCATTACTTTCAAAGTGTCAGTAGTATGTTTTGGCCAGAGAAAAGTATACCTAGATCGTCAAAAGTGAAAGCATTGACCAATGCGAGTTCAGCTCCGGATCTAAGGCAAATCTACATCCAGCAGTGTTTATGTGAGGTGTACTTTAGTTAATTAAATAGTGGCTTTGTTGATGTGTCAGTTCCCACGATGTGACACTAATTAGGGCGTAAGGTGATTGGTTTATAGTTAGGCTAAATGACCATTGATTTGTAGCCTATTGGTTACTCAAAAATTCACTGGAGTGCGGTTGTTAACGCTGTGGATGTGTTGGTAAGGTTACCTTGTCTGAAGCAGACAGAGCAGGCAGTGGTGTTGTTTGGGCAGCTGAAGATGACCTTGCCTTTTTCCTCCAACGCCTTCAAATCTCTCTCGCTCACTAGAGACACACGAAAATACATTGATGATTGGTAGATTTGCACAGTAGATACTCGACTTGGCAAATTGGATACTCACTTGTCTCGACTTGACCATCAATTTCCCGTCCCAGCTTACATTCCGACGAGTGTCCGCTGCAGAAACACGGTTTGCAACCAAGAGGATCATTGTCCATCATTCCGAACGTACCAGGTCTGCACCTAAAGAAATTGATTTTGATGAAAACGTTAATTGCAACCTTACATCCCCGATACCTAAATTCCGCAAATTTTAAAATTACATCGCTACTTAATTGTTAACAATAACGTACTTGTCGCATTTTTTGCCGATGACGTTGGCTTTGCAAAGACACTCGCCGGTGTACGGATCACACTGCTTTTGGTTGTCCAGGCTTCCACCGGCGTTGCATTCACAGGGTCTACGAATTATCAGAAGCGTCGCATTACGCATGGGAGACAAAATCACAGCCATCTGCCCCCCCCCCCCAACCCAATAAACACCACTCACTGACAGCCACTTGAGGTGAAGGAGTGGTGGTCGGGCAAGCAGCGGTCACAGCGGCTACCCCCCACGCCGGGCTTGCACTTGCACTGTCCGTCCGCGGAGCACTTGTGTTCCTGACCTTCCAGGGTTCCCATTGGATCGCACTCGCAGGGCCGACAGACGGCCGGTCGATTGGGGTCCGGGTAATGGCCGGGCAGGCAGGTTTCGCAGTGCTTGCCCATTGTGTTGTTGCCACAGCCGACGCACAGACCCCCTGAACCCGTTCGTCGGTACTCGTCTTCGTCGAATTCGCAGTGATTGGAGTTCCCGTTGCACTCACAGGCTAAATGAGAGACCGAATTAGCTCGCACTTGTGATGTTTGTGAGGGCAAGCAAGGTGATTAGGCCATAGTTTGTGGCAAAACACCATTATTTCAAGGTTATTCACTCAAATCCAGTCGAACTTGTGGCTGACCAATCAAAGTTGACGCTGACTAAGTCAAGGTCGTTGGTTGAGTGGTCAGCCAAACATCTGTGAAGGAGATTGTAGAGTGATGGAATTCGGTTAAATATATTTAAATTTTTCCTTAAGATAATAACTTGGACTCCTTAAAAGGATCGATATTTGGTTTGGTATTGAATTTGAAGGCGTTCACTCAACACAAAAATCAATATTTTTTCTACGACATGATTGGTGGAACAGATCGAACCCAATCAGAAGCTAACTTGCACAAATAATGAGGAAAACATGATAATGATGATGATGATGATACGAATAAATGGGTAGGATTGATTTGGGTGTTGTATAATTTGAAACAGAGTTGGAGACAGTCGAAAACCAGTAGTCAGTTGTAGCTGAGGTTCAGGTTTTCTGAATTCCTCAAACAGACGGTACATGGACGTTAGATGCAAATTACATTTTGGATTGGAGTTTAAAAAAAATTGAACGAAATTAAACAGGAGGAAATCGAAGCAAGTGTTTCGCTGGCCCATTTATAAGCCAAGAAAAGAGACGGCCATGTAAATGGTTTTTTTTCGACACAAAGGGAACATAGCAATTACCCAAATTTACTGGGTTGCCAGAGGCACAATATGGTTAGATTGCACCTTCTCTGTCCGAATTCATGATTTTTCACTTTAGTTAATAATGTTTTCAGTCGAAAACTACCCTGCAAACATTGACACTTCAAGACAGCAGACAGTGCCGTGCGAAAGTAGTTGGCAACGAATGCAGACAGTTGAGGGGAGTCAGTGGATTCATTGCGGTGAAGACGGGCTACGACTTCTCAGACTGACTAACTCACTTGTTTCCTTACTTGTCTGAGTGTGGAGAAAAGGTGATTGGGGCTGTACCCCGTCCTGAGCGAAATGAGGGTCTCTGAACCACAGAATTGAGCCACATTATTGAAAAGCTCATTAGACACGCTTTCTGAGCACTGAAAGTTCACTACCAAAAGCCCCAACCAATAGGAGACCAAAAGACCCAACCAATAGGAGACCAGAAGACCCAACCAATCGAAGACTTCGACCACCAGGGATCAGGACGTAGTCACGAAAAGGTTAGTGAAGACACAAGACCAAAGGAGGACGCACCTCTGCATGCGTGGGCGTTGTCTGGGGTGGCCGGGTACCACGGGACGTCCATGTAGCCGGGGGCGCAGCGCTCGCAGTTGTCGCCGGCGGTGTGGTGGGCGGGGTCACACACGCACACCAACTTGGGGTTCGGACCATAGCCCCCCACAGGGCGACAGTCGTTGCCGTGTCCGTTGCACATGCACCTGTTGCAAAAAGAGGGAGAGAGAGGAAACGCTCGAAGTGGCATCGTGAAGCCAACAGCTTTAGTCGTGTTGATTCACGTCCAATCGCCTCACACACACGTCCCCCTTTCACGGCGTCCCGTCAGCCACCCCTCTGCATGCACCACCACCACCATCACCACCACCCCCTCCATGCATGTGGCCGATCAGACGTCTGTATTTTTACTAGTACACTCAGCTGTATCAGTTAACACAACACAACATCTAGTAAATGGGTTATGCCTCGTCCTCTCCGGTCTTCCTACTAGCGTGATCGGGATAGATCCAACGCAGTGGCCCCGGCGTGGTTCAAGGCCACGCGCCGGAGAGGGGGAACGCTACCTCGTATCCCCTTGTGACCCCTATGTTTCTTCCACACACCATCGCCTTGTCTGCAATGCACTCGGTAGCTGAGACTACACACTTGCCTTCGCGTCGTCAGACCGACGGATGCAACCTAATTTCGATCCCTTCCTCTTCATCAACTCATTCTCCCCACACTACATTCTTCTCGACTAGTTTAACGACCTCTTGAACGTCTACTACGCTGTAGACGTCTTCGACGGAAACCAACAGCAGTTGTTTATTAGTTTTGAAGGCATCTGATCCTACTTTAGCCAGAAAAGGCGTCGTGTCAGTGGCCAGAACATCTCACCCTTGGATCAAAGGTGACGTATTCAACAAAGACAGCCTTAGGCAATGTGTCGAGGAACAGCCAATCACCTCCTTGAAGTGCAACACCTCCACATACGTCTTCGCATAGCTTAACCTTCAGTTAGATGGCAGGATTTACGATGAAGTTCGCTCGATCTATTGAGTAGTCAACTTTCAAATGGGCATGCAGGGATGGTACTTGTGGATCCAAGAACTTCCACCTACCTGCCACCGACGGTGAATTTGCGGATCGCAAAGTAGTACGTCAGGAGGGTGTCGCGTTCGGCGTTGGCCTCGTCACCGAAAGTGTGCATTTTTTGTAGCTCCACCTTAATCTGACTGGCGGTGCTCCATTCCTACATCAAAAAAAGAGAAAGAGAGAGAGGATAGAATGTGCACAAGTGGCAAACACGTCAGCCAATGAGAAAGCCGGAAGGTCTGGAACCAACCAACCAACCTGAAGCGCGGGGTTGTTGAAGAAGTCGTCGGTTCCGGGCCTGCCGTTGATGACGGAGAAGACGACTTCGCCGTCGTAGAGTGGCTGCAATGTGGAGTACTCTTCTCGACAGATTGCCTCATCGGGACGTCGAAATGTTGGCAGACGCTCGTACGTCATGTTAAAGTATGTCAGGCAGTTGCTAGAGAAGTAGACCCATGGTGTCCACGGAGAGGTGTCGTCGAACTTCTTGTAGATTACCATCGCGTGTGGACGCGGTGACTTGAATTGCAGGTACACGTAGTTGACGTGGAATTTGGTGCCTTCAAAGAGAACGCCGCAGGTAAGCTTGGACGTCAGTAAGAATGGACAGACTGACCATGCTTCGATGCTAAATCGCACAATTTTTACCTATTTTCAGAGATATAAGGATACTGGAGCCCAAAATTAAACTCGATTTCACTTTAAACTATTGATGAAGAAGCATGCTTTCTGGTTTTAGCCTGAGTTAAAACCTATTATCGACTATTATGTTCCCCTTCCATGCGGAAATAAGCTAAAAGACTTGATAAGATTCACGTAAGACCAAATTACACTTCGACCTGAGAAAAATTTGTCCCACGAAACTGATCACTTCGTTTGCATCGATTTTAAACGGCCTTGAAGAGTCAACTGCATTCAAGCCTACACTCCAGTTTAATTCCCCTCTGAAATCAAACTTGGGAAGTTGGGTCAGGGAGAATACAGAGAAGTTAATCGGGACTGTAATTTTATCCTGTGTGTCAGGGCAACGAAGGGTAATGCGTCCACTTCATCGGCTGTAGTTGGCTGGTATTTGTGGCATATTTATTTCGACCATCGCAGCCACGTGATATCGCTGCGTGGAGGAGATGCCAAATTAAATTCACCCACGAAATCGCACTCGAGTGGAGATTTTCTTGTCAAATGACCCCTGGTAAACAAATACGTCCTTTTCTCAGATTCCGGCGCGTCACATTTACGCACACACAGGTGATCGGAGTTGAAATGTCTGTGAACTTTGGGTTCATGTAAGCGCGGCGTTAGAAACCGTGTGTGTGTGTGTGAGTGTTTGTGTCCGAGTGACCCAGTGAAGACGAAAGTTTGGCCGTACACCTCTCAGCCCCTTTGTGTCCGCGCTGCATAAACAAAAGTTGCGGTCGTGAAGAATGCGTGGTGCCAATTGGCAGGCCGTCATGCACACTGTTCGGCCATTAGCGTAGCCCCGTGGTGCCCTCTTGTGTCTCTTCTTGGTAGCTGAAGTAAACACTTACTTGAATTGACATTCAGCTTGCGCGTAAGGTAGCACATTTCGTCTCTACTTGGCAATATTATTCGCGTGTTAGGTGAAGTCGCAATCACAGCTGATTCTCCATTACCTTTATTGTGGGGTGCCACAAACTTCAATTTGTAATCTCTTCAACTTTCATTCGCAAACTTCAAGGTCATAATTATCCCAGAAGTTATGAGATGCATAGTAAAGCTAAATGAAGTAGACAGAACGAGTGGTTGTCAAGACTACACTTAATTCATAAACAAACCGGTGGCATTAAGCCCTTGGCCGAGCGTAAACATCGAGTAAGTCTACAGCTGGCAAATTCACCCACTTAAATGTAAGTATGTGTGCGTGTGAATGATCTCTTACGTCAGCCTTGGAAATTGGCGGTTATTTGGCAAAATTCGACTCCGCTTTTTAACATTTAGTGGAGTGCAAATCACCACGACACTACATACCTACATTTTGGAGCAGAGGAGACTGTTATACAACAAATAAATTTAAAAAATCGATATTTGGGGAAAACAGGCATTAAATATTTTCATCTATTGTGGTGGAATTATCTTGGTTCACGAATTTTAAAGTGGAGCAGCTATCCTTGAAGTTCTGTGCAGGATAAAGTAACTATTTCCAAGTTGAAAGCCCATAACTAGAAAAAAACTAATGATTCACTGTTACACCTTACTATTGATTTTGCGACGAATATGGAAAGCCGATGAATTGGCAACTTTGTATCAGAAGGTAAAGCAGTAAACGTACAAATTAACTTTTAAAATCCCTGTTTTATTTCGCGGTTTTATTGGAATTTAATCATCCAGGACTGTCTCAATTGCAGGAACATTTTGGCAAAACGATACCCCCAAGAGGGTCAAGAGATATTTATTTATTGTCGCCTTTCAGTAAGATACAGTTAAAAATGGGTCAGTTCGGTTTGTCAGCTTGTTATCCAAAGCATGTCCGACGAATAAAGTTTTGTATCAGGTAGAAGTACCAAGCAAAGAAACGAACGCAATTATTACTCTAAAATTAAACTTGATACATTGACTAATACCAATTTTAGCCAATATTATTCCCAGGAGAGAACGGACAAAATTGGATAGGAAAATTGAAGGTTGCTAAGACTAGATTCAAATATCTGACATTGATAGAACGTTTATTTCCTAAACCCGACAAACGTGTCAGTATTGCTAACTACATCACCTGGGTGAACTTATTTTAAACCCAGAGGTAGTCCGCTGTGTCCTTTAAGCTTGGTTAGGTTGCTAAGAATAACTTCAAATATCTGACATTGATCGAATACATACAAATATCTGAGGTTTATTTTTTAAACCCTACAATCGCGTCGGTATTGCTGAACTTATTTCGGATCAAGGATAAGTATGTTGTGCCTTTTAAGCCTGGTTGGGGTAAGAATAGAGCAAAATATGTGTATACTTTGACGTTGGGATATGAGCAAGATGCAGGGGTACTCAATTTTTAATGAAAAAAATGGTGTTACAATCAGATAAGTTATCAAGATATCTCATGTCTTCTTCAAACAAACAGGTTTAGAGAGTGTAGATAAGCATTACAAAGTGACATTTTCCGAGTACTTGCCTCATGCTCCTACTTCATTGGCAGCCTCGATAAGAAGTATTCGTTTATTAACATTAAAATTAAATAGCACAATAAAAAGATCAGATCATGCAATACATTGTAAAGTGTCTAAACATTTAAGAAATTGGCACACACAAATTTCGTGTCTTTAATATATATTCCATTTTATTTATAACAAAACAAGTTAGTAAGCGCTTGTCAAAACCACGTTACAAAAAGGAAATTAAAACTTTACAATCTAATTTCAGTTTCAAGTTACTTTAATCCTTTTGAAACAGTAAGAAAAGTTAAAAACAAAACAACGAGTGCGACTGTGGTGTGCGAAATTCAAATTCCAAATAATATTTTAAGTTGAGAGGCTCAAGAAAATGGAAATTATAACCCACCTAAATCAATTGTCAAAGTAACTGGCTCCTTAAAATGCAGGTTTGGATTTTCGTCCATAGTTTCCGATTGCCACCAGTTGTTGTGGTTTCGGTCGGTCATGAAGCTGGCGTCATGGCTTTCGGCAGGATTTCTCGCATCACAATATTGACAACGACTCCGCATTGCCGCGTTTGACATGTGAATACAGAACTTTTGTCTTCTTGTTATACCACAGGTGTTGGAGGCATTTACTAAGCGCCCAGCAGCAGCACTGGTAAAAGGAGGGTAGCAAAAGACAGGCTTCCCGGATGAATCAACACATGATCCAGCGTAGTGTTCGTTAATAGTAGGTTCTAATTGTAGGGAATACCTAAAAATAACTAATAGGGATATTGTGACCAAGCATTGTTCCAGCCCGCTGCCCATCATCCGGCAGATTACGGACACAATTTGTCGCTTTATTGCGCACACTTAAGATGGAAAATTAAAACACATTTAAGGTCATAAAGCTTAATGAGAAACGTTTCGTATTTTACATATTCAAGCAATACCTATATACATCTATACACGCATATAATTTATTAAAGGTTTATTTTAACTTAAATGAATCTTTGATTACTGCTTTGTTACAGCATGACTTATCAAACGGCGTCACACGGAAAACATTAAAAGAGACGATTGAATTTCAAAGACACTTCACAAAATTCCCCATGCCAATAAACTTATACCGTTTAATTCATGACGATTAGCTTAATCCCCGCAAAATCAAACAATGAGCATTTACTGATTTGACTACGAGCTAAAACATAATAAGTTTCAGTTATGTAGGAATCGGATACTGCAACTGACACTAACTCCTTTAATGAACACTTTTGACAAACTAGAATGTTTTTTTCTTCGATTTTTGTCTAAGGAACACCAACAACCGCATTATTGGTATGGTAAAAGATGAACACTCAATGACAGGATATGAACTAATATGCATTAAGGAAGTGTTTAACGATATACTACCTTACTAAACATTACGTAATTAGTATCCACGCATGTTTATTTTAAAAATATTAAGTAAGGAAAGGAGAATAAGTTAATGCAAATATTAGATCAAAGGAAACATGAATGACGTATCACGACTGACCGTGTATGCAAATCTAAAATATAATATTTCAATACTGTAATAGGATAAATTACTTCACACCTTGCAAAAGCCACAAAGATAACCATTAACCAATATAAAAGCAACCTCATTCTCAACTAGAATGAACAAGTAGGGGATAAAAAACTGCAGAAAACATGTTTAACCTGAACAACCAATGGCTTTTGCATAAATTAGAATTAACCAAGAAGCTAAGCCTCGGTATTCAGGACTGACCACTAATGCTATAAGTGTAAATTTTTTTACAAACCAGAATATGCAGCAGAGGTTGCAAAATATCTATTGCCAGCGAGTAAAAATGATATTGAAACTATATTACATTTTAAGGGCCAAAATGTCTGATGTAATGTGCAAACCATTGAGGAGCCAATAGACACCTTTATATTTCATTGCTTCAATGTTGACTAAATACAAGCATTGTAAAAGTCTACGGTTATTTCCGTTTATATTAGCTTCTGTAATTATGCAAACAACATAGACTGAAACAAATCAGTTGACTGCTGCGGAACCAATATATGCTAAATGTGACTGCTTGCTAGAAATCCCAATCTTAGCCCCACTTTTGTCACTATACAGCACAATAACCACTTAGAAATTAAATATGATGTATATAGCATAGTTCAGGTAATTTTAAAAAGTGCACTACACATTTATGAAATGATGGACACCCACTTTGTGTGAAGTGAATAAACTTCAGTCAAAGACTTTCAAATTTGATAAAAACATGATTTTTAAAAAGTTTAAGTACTGTGTCAATATTTAATTAAAATGTTTACTTCTACAAAGTATATTTCGCGTGGTTATTTCCTTGAAACAACAAACTTGTTTTTTTCCTTTGATTGTCATGTGGCGCGACACTTGGATAGCTAGCAAGGCGTGCTATTCGTACGGCGATGGCGGAGGAAAGCTCAAAAGCTCCTGTGCAGAAGCGTGTTCGACAAAAGCAACCAGGTAGGCTCTACGTGAAGGCTATATTCACTGGATACCGTCGGGGTCTGCGAAATCAACATGAGAACACAGCTCTGCTGAAGATTGACGGTGTGAATACCGCTCGTGAAACTGAGTTTTACATGGGCAAACGATGCGCCTACATCTACCGCGCTGAGAAGTATGTGTTTTCTTAATATGTGGGATATTTCATAGGAAAAAGCAACTTCCTCGGCGCCACAAGCCCACGAAGATCAGGGTTATTTGGGGCAAAATAGTCAAGCCACACGGCAGGAGTGGCGCCGTGCGTGCTCGGTTCAAGCGCAACCTTCCTGGTAAGGCTATGGGCAAGCGCATTCGCGTCATGCTGTACCCTTCTCGCGTGTAAATTTGAATAAAGTTTATTTGGCTGAAAATGCTTGATACTCCGTTGTCGGTTCAATGCCCGTAATCGGAAAGCTTGGATTATAAACTCTTTGCTGCTTGATTGATTTTTTTCGTAAGTGATTAGTGGACTACTTTGGTAATGCCGTTATACGCAATTAGATGAAATGGTGACTGGATAGTTTTTTGCGTCGCTCTGAATGTTACATTTCTGGAAGTGTTTGTGACTGGAGGCCAGCCTTATTGGTGTTACGACTCGAGTTGCCTTGGTAACTGAATGGTGGGTGGCTTTTGAGAGTACAGATGATTTCCCAATCTTAGCTTCCGCGTTGATTAGCCCAAACGCCTCCTTATTTGGGGCGTTTAGTACGAGCCACAGCGACTGCCTCGAGTTTTTTTTATTCGTTGACGTACTTGGCGCTCCTAATAACCCAGGCAGTCTTTGGTCCTTAAATTTTTTATCGACATTACGCGCTAGTGTCGTTTATCGTCCAAAAGTCTCCTAGTATGTATGACTGGTCTCTTGATAACAAAGACTTGTTCAAAACAACAGGAGTTTTAGTCCCTGAAACAAGTCAGTACAAATGAGAAAAAAAGTAACTAACAAGAAGTGGGAATGCAAAAGTCGGCTCAAAGAAACAAAGTTAACAAATGCGCAACAAGGTCGAAATGCAGCGTCAACGAAGCTGTTTTTGGGGGGGGGAGGGGTGGTTTGAGTCTTCTGTGTATTACTCCTCGTAGACTCGCGCAAGGAGAGCTCGGAAGAAATATGACTGGGCCTTCAGGATAATCGAGAAGTCCTCTAGCCTTTCATCTGAAAAGGTAATCAATTCGGGCTTTGGTCACACGAGAAGGCGAATAAACCCTAGAGACATTGAAAGTTTTATGCGTGAAACATTTTTGACCGCCTCTATGTTTTTTCTGAACATCGGTGCGAAATCTGAAGAGTTTCAGTGGTTGGTTTTGCAACGCGCCTTAGGGCCCTCAGTAAATCTGTAAAACAGCCGCAAAATCGATTTCTCCGATATCAGAATGTCATCGGCCCACCTACCAAGTTCGTCGGCTTCGTAGAGGTCAACGATGACGCCACGGAATGCGTTTGAAAGTGAATCCAAAAATTCCTGTCGATGGGTATTCCCCGTAGCTTGAACTGCGTCTCCGACCAGACTCAGTAGGCCTGAGAGATCCTCCTTGATTTTCACCTTAGTGGACAGGAAAAGTTATTTGCGCGTGTGGATCCAATCGGGTGGCGATGGTGCGAGATATGCGATTGAGAGACATGTAGAAATTTCGTCCATATGGTGTACCCAAGTTATCAGCCAATGTCGCTACTATCCTGGCAACCAGGCGACAAATGTCACAGTTGGTAATTGAGATGTTTGCCTACTTGGGAATACATCAAGTAGACTGCTTTGGAATTTCAGTTAGGGGAAGTGAATGATCCAGAATTAAATAGGCAATTAGCCATTTCGCACAAATTTATGCATGGTGCGTTGACAACAGAGCCGCAAAGGACAATCTTTTGGCTGTCACGCATAGTTTTTGAAGTCGACTGGGTGCAGGATGATCGGGCAGGAAAACAGCTGATGAATATGCATGGCGCAGCAGCAGTAAGGCATGCTCAACTAACCTGGACAAGGCACAGGGAGGTCAGAATTACAGCCAGTTCCGTGACGTAGCCCTTTCTGGCCTTGTGCTGAACTATCAGAGACGCCAGCTTGGGACCTAAAATATGCACCCAACAGGAACTACGTTACCCTCCTCACGAATAAATTTTGGGACGAGATCACCAAATAACAGAGAGGAATAAGTGGAGACGGTAAATCCACCAATGTACCATTTCTAGATTTCTGTGGCAATCATAAAATCGTGAAACAAACCGGGATTGTGGGTTATCACGACTAGTTTGTAATGCGCCTACCAGCCGAGTGCAGGAGACACGCAACATTCTCTGCCAACCAGCCGTCGGGTGTGTTTGTGATCTCATGGAACACAGCGAGGGTGTCGTTGGCGGACCAGTAGCCGGAGAGCCAGAGGCTGTTGAGGACGCGGCCCAATTCACCAAAACACGCAGACAACTGCTTCAAGTCGGCAGCCGTATTCTCACACATTATGTTCCACATCAGACGGCCTGGAGTAGAGGAAAATAAGGACCTAAAACCTCGGTTTACGAACTCAAGAAGGAGCTCGCGAAGGTTTGGATGACGAGTGTGTCACATGACAACCAGAGAATGCTAAGTGGGGGGTGGTGTCACGGTGGAAACTATGGTTGCCGAATCAATATTAGAATAAGAGCATATCCCATCGGGTAACAGGGCTTCTACACGAGCCTTATACCAAAGGCAGAACGACCAGAGTCATTTGCTATCAAAACGTTGTTCATAGTTAACTCCACATGGGCTCACAATGACGCATCTGCTTTCGATATGACTTCCACATGCAAAGTAAAGTTTAAAAATAGCCAGGCTAGGTGAATGGAAGAATTTTTGGCCCCGAAAAATGGCTGTGGCTGGGTAAGAGCAGATAGAACCCCAATTTGTTCCGCGTTGGAGCGACTACTGAATGTTTTTTGTTGCGCGCTAGCTAGTCCAAATTTGTGCAAATTAAACTCGAAAGCCTTCTTCCATGTGGAGATTACCCTTGTGCACTGGGCCGTAGAGAATGAAGAGGATTCGGGCCTGGTGAACGAATGGGTAGGAGCGAAGGATGTTTGCGAGAATGCGGACAGTCGGCCAAACTGACGAGTTATCATCGGCTGACGTGGCGCTGCTGGTGCCACTGCCTGAGGCTTTAACTAGAGGTGTGGACGTGATTAGAGCATCGGAAGTACCATCGGGACTGAGGAAATTTAAAGAGTCGAGGCTGCTAAGAACAAAAATGTGGTAGGAATGAATACCCACAACTAAGCAATTGATGTAACCAATAGGAAAAGTATGTTAACAGTTACCAAAAGTAGCATCTCGCTGGTGAAAAGGAAGGCTGAAATTCGTCTCAAATCAGACTCCCTGATACAGGGGTCTCTGTAAATAACAGAGTTCACTATTTTAAACAATCGAAACCACTGGTAACTCACACAAATTTGAAAATTAAAAATAGTAGGTGAAATACATTGTTATTGTTGTTATTCAAAAGGTAGACAACAATAACACCGCTGCAATGCTTCGTGAGTGAGAGGCTTACCAAGACGTGTTGTGCTTACCAATCTCCGGGGAAGGAAATTGTGGTGGAAGAAACGTAACCCGAGGAGGTGAGGAGGTCGCTCGAGTTCGAGTGGTTGGAGTCGCTTTGAGTGCTTGAGGTCGGATTTTGAGTTCCACTGAGATCTGCCCACGACGGATTTATGCTAAGAGGCAGACTCTGTGGATCAAGGAAGATCCGACGAAGGAAAAGACGAATAGCCAATTCATCCTCCGGGGACTCATCTGAAAAACCAGTTACCGATCACTGCGACATAAAATAAGACTCAAACATGCATTTTACAACAACAAACATGACTTTTTAACCCATTTAGGTAATAAACAGGTTACGAGGGTGTAAAAATAATTTAGCCACTTCTGCTTTCGAAGAAAAAAACACGCAATGACACACATACCTGGCCTTTTACATAGCAAGTTGGTCAGCCTCAGCCAAAAGTTTTGAACAAAGCATGCGTGAACAAGGGCATGGAACACGCGTTGGTATTCGTTCTGTGTGCATCCCAAAAGAAAAGAGCGAAGAAAGTGACCGAAATAGAACGTCGATGGGCAACGCAAACGCCCCATTATACATGCTCCCTTTATCAAAAACGTTTTACTCGGATCCACGACTCGCTTGCCCTTGGAATTACTTGCAGACTTTGGTTCGAATCCACTGTGGCACAAGTGCTAGAAAAAGCAACCCAACAGATTGCACACAAACTCGTCATTCAGAAAAAAATAGTCAGTAAGCACAAACAAGTTCTATAAAAACTAAGTCGACAAATAAACAATTAGAAGGATTAAATAAACTAAAAATGCAAACGTACTGCTTGGAGAATGTTGTCTAAAAGTTGAATCCTTAGAGAGAGGGGGAGAAAACAAAATACCCTACGGAAAAGAGTTCCTAAACCAGAGGATAACAATAGATTTAAGGCTTACCAATCTGGCTATAGTATTTGATTTTCCGTTTAACATCACCAAAAGTGTTAGGTACAAATGGCGGATGTGGTTTCCGAAAATCGCGAAGTTGAGTGCAAGATGAACTGGAAAGGTAAAGTTCAACAGACATGCGACCAGCTCGGCTAGTAAGTGACACGTTTGAAAGATCAGGTACTACAGGTTTTTACTAACAAACATGGCACTAACTTTCCAAGAATGAAAATATGTGGTAGACGATTTCGCTGGGAAAGAAATTGAAAAATGAATCCTGACATTTCAATGGCGCGGTTTCTGTGGAAAGACTCCGGCGTAACTTGATGGACCTCTCCGAAGGCTCAGATTGCTTTAGAAAACTTATATCCCGTTTCATACTAATGCGACAATAAATATCACAGAAAATTGGGAGCCAGCACGATAAATTTCTAAGAAGGGAAAAACATACCTTAAGGCCGAATATTATTCAAAGCATGAGTCAGATTAAAATGAGGTAACGGTAATCAAATGTCTTTATATGTAGAACGCAGAAGTCTCGGGATGACTTTAAATAAGGACACAGAACTAACCGGAAGGAAAGACAACCTTCACGACCCAAGCGAAACCGAAGAAGCGCCTCCGACGAAAGATTCCATTTCGCTGCATTCAAACACTCGAGATTGTAGGAATGAGTTTGTCAAAGCGTTGTGAGAGTCATTTTATTTTTTAAATACATGAAAAATGTTCACTTTCGACCTCGCAGACAACCAAACTATGATCCTAGTATATTTTTACGATTAATGTAAAAGTCATGAAGAACTGTCGGTATTTACTCATTATTTCAATACATATTTTTTTTGCTTGCTTGTTGCTGTAGCAGACAGAAAGCCACCTCGTGCGAGTGATGCGTGTATGCCGGCCCGACTGTACAAATGACTCACCCTTTTTGTATTTGGCTCCTGTTAGCAGTAGCTTGTTACGCAAGCTTACTCACATGCACACAAAGCCACTTGGCTGTTGTGGCACTAATAAACGGTCGAGTACTCTGTCGCCTCTTGTTATACTCCCCTCGGTTTGCTAAGGGCTGTTAACTAGAGGGTTGTAAGGAAGTGCTACACTAAACTACTGCAATGCTAAAGGCAAACGCTTTATAAAAATTTCCACTTAGAATCTCATGCCATTAAGTTGCAAAGTTCACTTTGCAATTTTCACAAAATAAGATGCGTTTTTCAGTTGGATTTTTTAAACGATAAATGTAGCTTTCGGAACAAAAAAGTTCTATAAATATTTTTCATCTGCAAATTCAATGAAATTACTAACTGATTATTTGAGGTCTTGAAGACATATAAGTGAAAAAAAAGTTCCAATATGGCATCGTGTACGACAAGAAATAACTAAAAAAGTCAGCTTCGTGTTAATTTCTTCATTCAAGCGTGCATTAATAACTTACGACTGTTTTGAAAAATTGTTAATTTCGCACGCTCTACTATACGCTTTTTATTGTTAAGTAACAAACTAAAATTTTTTTGCAGCATTAAAATTAACAAAACATGCACTGCTTAGCTAGCTGAAAATGAAGTCGCTTAAAACTGAAATTGTTTGTATCAGCATTTTCTCGTAGCCGCTTCAGTTGAGTTTTCGTGTTTGTATATTTTTCACGTTTTCTGTAAGTAAAAATGGCAGCTACAAAGACTCGAAATCTTATGACTGAGGAAGAGTTAATTGAGCTTGAAAAGCAGGAATTTGAAACAGGGCCGCTATCAGTCCTTTTAAACGCTGTGAAAAACAATACACAGGTATGTCCGAAATTCGCTTTATCCCTAGCGCAGTTTGTCTTGTTCTTGTACTCTAGCGCATTTTTCAGTAATCCATTCTATCGGCATATGTTTTTTGTTGTTAATCTCTTTTTAGAATTTCAAAACAGTATTTTGGTAATGGTGTAGATTTCACATTTTCACTTGTAAAATGCTCAGTAAGTAGATGCTCGTACGCTTACTTCACGAAGTTCCTCCAACCCACAAATTTTTTAATTGTTTAAATCCCCACCTGAATGCAGTGGTGCTGAAATGCAGTTGCCTCATCGTTTTCCACAACCCTAGATCCATTAATCTCTACTCAACATTTAACTGCTTTTTGCTTAAGCAAACATCAGCCTTTTCAATCCATTCTCTTTTGGTCGCTACCTTTACTCTGCTGTGTATATAATAGGATTAATTAATTTTTTGTCTTGGCGTGTTATTGACCCAGAATGCATACTTATTCTCAAAAGCATTCCAAACCTGTATAATTTCGTGTATGTCAAGGCACCTTAGGCACGTATCTGTTGGAATTTTAATGAAAACATTTTATGCTACATCTTTTTAGGTCCTCATTAACTGTCGAAATAATAAGAAACTGTTAGGTCGTGTGAAGGCCTTCGATAGACACTGTAACATGGTGCTGGAAAATGTTAAGGAAATGTGGACAGAGGTTCCTCGCCCGGGCAAAGGAAAAAAGAAGTCCAAGCCAGTGAACAAGGACCGGTTTATTAGCAAAATGTTTCTTCGTGGTGACTCCGTCATTCTCGTCCTCCGGAACCCTCTTGCTACCGCAGCTGCCTCCGCCCGCGGCTGAGGTTCGCACCAGTCGAACTATTCCGCTTTGAAACGCTCCAATTGTATCAAAAATTTTCATAAAGTGGCTGCATTCACGTTGCTAATTATTGAAAGAAGAATTAGTACGGGTCGTAACGGCAAGTGAAATCGCAGTGAGCACACACGTGAGCCATCGCACTCTCGAGGATGGAGCACTTTATTAACTGATAGCACCAAACACCCCAAGTTATCCAAGATTCTCCCTCTTGCACACCCGCACCCAGGTAAACTGCGGCAGCCCGCTTCCCTGTTTCGCATTAGGTGTGTCGCCACCGTTCTGGCGTCAAGTCGCGCTTTTATCGTTGCACTAACTACGTTCTAAGTAGACTATCACCCATATAGGAAGCAACTATGACGGAAAGCCGGGAGGAACATGCGGTTAGCAGCTAGACGCCACAACTGTCAAGCACTTATACGGCCTAAGGATCCGTACACTAAAAAAGTAAACGCTGGAAGAGAATACTGCCAATGCAGTGCCTTAGCGCTGGGAACACGCCCCACTTCTGCAGGTTGTAGATCTAACACGTTATTTAAAGACGCTTGTTAGGGCCAGTTAGCGCCAAAAAAGCGAGCATGTGTAGTCACAACTCGCAACTTGTGGTAAGAGGCATTTAAGTAGAGATAGAAGAACAAGATAGGTAATGGAAGGAAGTGGACAAACAGCATTAACAAACGGAACCGGCGGTGCGCAGGTTCCAATAGAAACGGACTTGTAATAAGTTAACTACATGCATGCGGCGCACAAATAATGAGTGGCTCCGTTGAACGTTCGCCCACCAAATAAGCGTAATATAATAACGGGGCAACATGTGCTTACACGCGAGCACGCCAAAAAGAAACAAAATAGTTACGGGGGTATAGAGAGATGGAACTAGGGAGAAATGCATCGTGAAGTGAAATTCTCTTCATGGGGAGGAAGGGGGGAGGGCGTTAGAGAAGATGGCGAAAGACGGGTCAGCGATATCGCACGGTGATGGGATGTGGCGATGTGCGAAGGTGGAGGATAAATGGGCGGGAACCCAATCCACGGCTTCCGCTCATTTGACGGGAAGGAATGCGGAGACGATTGGCTCTGCTGGCTGGTAAGCACAGCTCGCTTAGGATACGCGGTTGTTAGCCAAGCGCAGGGCTAAAATTGACAGGGGGAAAAAGGTGTTAGCAATGACCTCATCTGTCGATCCGACGTGTGCCGGAGAAACAGTAATTTGTCAGAATTTAACCACGCATCTACAATTTGTGCAATTGTTAGGAGCGACGCCTCTCTGACTGCATTAGCCCAACGCGCGTTGCCACGACAAATACCCCGCCACCAGACACACACACACACACAAACCGACGTCTAGGGAGGGAAAGTCAGCTGATAAATCACACGCAAAATGCATGACCGGGCAGTGAACCGCGCTGGCGTGCGTGCGTTTACCACCACCAAACAGGCAGCGCAGGCGTTAGTCACCTAATGATGGAAATGGCCAAGAATCGTGCGCGTGCGCTCACCCACTGACGTCAGTGAACCAAACGTGCTTTGGCTCACTGTGGGTGGTTTTGCCAAGGATCTGCCACTTGAGTTGTGACCACACCGAGTTCAGCGAACGCCCCACATCTGATTGAAGAAGTATTAAACTAGGATGGATGGCGATGTAACATGCTTGAGGGTTTGGCAGACACGCCGGAATGAGTAGAATGGTGTGGAAATGTCATCTAGTATCGAGTCCGGTGACAGCAAGCTAGGGCAGCCTCGTTCTCAAAAAAGAACTCGCTGACCAGAAATTCAAATTCTAGCGAGACTTGTCGAAATGTCTTTCCTCAATGATGCAGGAATGCAAATTTGGCGCCTCCAGCGCATTGGCCAAAAGACGAGTTCATTAAGGAGGCGGCCAATTTGCTTCCAAATGAAGGCAATCGGGATGATGACAGTAAACGATTCAGACCACTGTCTTATTTGTCATGTGTAGATGGAAGACAGGTGAAACCAAAATTAACCAAGGAGATTACCACTACTACAATTGGTTAGTCAAAAAATCGTGGGTTCTAAGGTGGGGCTATAGTGGGTTCGGTAACGCGGGTTCGATTCAAAGCCGAGGACGTGGGAAGTGGAGGTGATTAGTGCTACAGAAAAACCCTCCCCCGCACTCTCCAACGCCCAACCGGCAATAACCAAAAGGCCGTAGAATAAAGAGAACCACATTGCGGCGTGTGTGTGTGTGTGGGCAATTACTGCTTTCGACAGACTGTCTTCCACCGACATGCGCACAACACCCCAGAGCACCACAACAATAAAAGCAACGCCTCTGTGGGCTTGTCTTACGACCTCAGGCCAATTAAATGCAGTCTGCAGGAGATACAAAGACCACCAACAGAGAATGCGCAGAATCAGCTGCTTAGCCAATAGGCTTCTGTTCTGGGAAACAGCTTTTTTTGGGAATACAAAGGCGATGAAGGGAAGAAAAGCAGCATTTCGGCCGAGCCAGGAAAAAGGCGGACAGGTAAATAGAGCATTAATAGCGACGTAGAAGCATTCACAGTCTACTGCGACCAACCCGCGTCAAAGTTAGGGACAATTATGTCCCTTGTACAATTAGTTATGCCTGTTTACTACATATCTTGCGTAGACCACGTATAAGGCCGACCACATGGGTTCTAGAGAAGATCGATAATGCAGAGTCCAGGTTTCCTGAGTCATGTAAACACGCACATCCTTGGCACCGCTAAGTCATCTATCGTGCGTTATACGATAGACGCTTGGCGGTACTGACGTACACACACACACACACACACACGCAAGACGCCGCACCTACCCAGCGTCTGCGTTTAATCGACTGAGTCACCCAAAGACGGGTGAAACATCTAACTAAAACCGCATGGCAGTAGTGACCGACTTCGGTAACTTCAAGGAGACAACACGAAGTGCATCCCCAAAGACTACTCACCATCGAGGATATCACTTTTGAGAGTTTTAATCTCCTTTCGAAATTCGGCGAGGATTTCGCGTTTGAAGGCGTCCAAGTCGGCACGCGTTACGGGCTGATTGGCGTCAATGCTATTCACAGCTGACACTGAATTCTTTCGACTGAAAGAGGCAAAAAATGAAGACAATTTACAATGAGAGGGCACTGCAGCAAGATCAAGATCGTGTCCAAACACCGAGTCGCTAGACTTGACAAAGAAAAATTGACCAATCGGACTGGCGAGTGACAAGCCGGCCATAATATGCGCTGACAATGTGCGGGGAAAGGCATTACCCCGAGCACATTGCAAGAAAACAGGCCAAAGCAATCGTAAGCGAGACAAACATGGCCATAATTGCAAGGGCCACGTGATTTGGCAAGGCATTGGTGTACGAAAAACAGCTTGGGGAGTTGTGCGGACTTGATTCTGCCGAGAATTTGACATTTCTGGCGATAAAAGGCGATTAGCGACGGGCGATAGTCAGTTTACTGTGACAAGGAAAAAACGAGATCGAAAGCGACGATGGAAAAAAGGGAGACAACAAAGGCGACTTGCATGGTGGCGTAGGTCGAGGTTGGGGGAGGTGCCGTGGGGACAGCAAACATGGGCGCACTGTTGTTGTTCAGACTGTTGGGGCCAGTAATGGACTGCGAAGGCCTCCGCAAATGACCGCTTTCAGCAGGTGGGTTCGCGGGTCCACACGTCGTCGGCGTCGTCGAGAGGCCGTTGGTTGGCTCCGCTGTGGCGCCGTCCACGTTCTCGCCCTGCATCAAGGCGAAGACGAAAAGCGTTAGGGTTATCGAATGGCTCGCTGATGCCTCAACGACACCAAACACGAGGAAGGCCACCCCCTCAATGCAAATAGTTCTACCATGTGCACAAGGCAGTACTGGTGGTTAGGACGTTTGCAGGGCGGCCGATTAGTCATGTCCACACGCGCGTGATAAAAACACAACACGTTTCTACTTGATGACAGCGGAAAAGGTGGCTTGGTATGCAAGTTAGTTGCGCAGAAAGAGAAGAAGTGAACTGATGCACATTAATGGTCACCCAATAAAAACGAGGTATTTAAAAAGCAGAACACCGTTACACACGCACACACACACAACCAAGAGCAACCAGACGAAATTTGTCACTGGAATTTAAAACGATACATGTACCTCGGATTACCCGACCAAGGTCCAAAATCTGGGCTCTCGGAAGCAGAGTGAAATCACTAACTTTCAACATAGGTGACAAGGCGTCGGATCGGGGCGACGCGGTAAATTTCCCCGCTAGACCCGTGTCAAGGTGGAGACGCCAAATTACGCAAGACAAGTGACCTTAGTGAAACAGGGGTCATGAGGACACGGCAGCAAGCCCTACGTGAAGTAGTTCGTCGCAACAGCAAGGACGCAGGCAAGTCATGGTGCCGCTGCATGACAACGCTTGACCACCTCACGTTGACTCACAAGACCCTCTTGAACTTGGTATGGGAAGTTCTTCCGCACGCGGCATATCCACCAGACTTGTCTCCATCCGACTACAACTTTTTTCCGGTCAATGCAGCAGCAGCAGCAGTCGGTCTTAGCGGATAAACAGTTAAAAAGACTACACGATGTGCGTAAATTCGCTGCTGGCGTTATTGCCTCGGAGCCAGTAAGTTTCTTTCGCAACAGCATTCGCGCGTTACCTGAGAGATGGCGCAAAGTCGTAAAAAAACGATGGACAATATGCCCTAGATTAAGTCTTTTTTTGTTTTCTATTTTCTAATCAAATAAATTCGTTGAAAAATCAGCAAAAATTAAGTCATTCACCTCTCAAATTCACACAAGGAGGTCAAGGAAGTGTGTTGGCGCGCCGGAAAACAAGTCCCCAGTTTCACTAACAAGTAATAAGAACCACGAAACAAGTATACATATATATAGAAGTGAACTTGCACACATGTATAAACAATGCCATCTTGTTCGTGAACGTCATCCACTAGATAATCTTTGGTATTTGTTGTGCTTATTGTAAACATTGGGGCGGGGAAACTGAGTGCGCGATTAATGAATTTTGGACTGCCAAAGATTTGCGAATTGCGACGGTGCGAATACCAGCGAATATGATCAAATCTTCATTCGAAACAGTCACCATCGGTGCGGTGGGACATCACAGTAAAACGACAGGTACCACATCGATTTGGTGGTTAGGCTCCACCCGCGAAAAATGTTGGTTTGAGGCCACGCAAAAGTACGACGAGGGGAATTAAGGAAACTCCCAACAGAGCGCCAATCACACATTGAGGAGACTCGAAGGACATAATATCGACCACAACGGGGCGCCAGAATGCCCTCAAGCCAGCCGTCTCACATCTAGGCACCGGGCGGTCGCAGTGAGCAGAGCAATGCCAGGGCAGGCTTTCTCTCTCTCGTGTGCGCGCGCACTGGATCAGACCGGTCGTGTTTACGTGCCCAACACATCAAGGCCGCTTGCAGCTCTACTACTGCTGCTGCTCGATGCGACACGCGATTATAAGGTAGGAGGTGAGTTGGAAAGTGAATTTGTTTACACCACTCAAAGGGCCAATGACTGCGTTACGCTGGAGTTGCGTGTTGCCAAAAAAATGCAAACGGAATAAGGCGCGGTGCGGACGAAACGCAGGTGCCTGCTGTTGTACAACAATTGCTACATCCACGGCGAAGACTTGGCAGCTAGCCAGAGCAGGACTAAAGTTCCACAAATTGACAAATAAACGTTTCACTTACATCTCCCTCACGGGCTCTACGCCGCGCAGCCAGCACCCTCTGAAGATCGGACATCATGTCAACACCCTGGGCTCGACTCAGCGTCCCAGCACTTGCCACAGCGTGAAGTCCACCGCCACCGGTGGCATTCACGCCACCAGATTCCTGTTTCTCCTGCTGCTTCTTCAGACGCATCTGCTTCGCCTGACGTAGTTGAGCGGCGAGCCAACTCTGGTTCGCCGCGTCCGGTTCGTCCGGATCTGCTGCTGCTGCCGCCGCCACGCCCAGGTAAGGCGACGAAGAGGCCGGGGCGGAGAGCTTTCGGTCGTTTGCAACCGAAGAAGGAAGGGCGGGTGCTGGTGGAGGCGGCGGCGGCGGTGGTGGTGGGGGAGGTGGCGGAGCAGGAGGTGCACTCGAGGGAGGCGGGGGCGCCGGAGGCGCTGGTGGCGGCGGCGGAGGAGGAGGTGGGGCAGGGGGAGCGGCAGATATCGTCGGTGGTGGCGGAGTCGGTGGAGCATACTGAAGGGAACCTGGGGGAGGGATGAAAGCACAAAGAGGAATAAATTACGCAGCCCGATGTAGCGTTCACGCATCATCCACCAGCTGCAAAGTCCGATTCCTTGTCGGGCAGCTTCCTCACTAAAGGAAGCGAAAAGCCAATTGTTGCAATTTAGCAGATTAGAAAAATGGCCTGTAGAGGAACTACGGCTTATTTGAACAGACATGACGGAAAAAAAACAACGATTGTCATGGAAGCCTAGTGGCGATTTGAGTATCGTTAGAACCGTGATAAAACGGGCCACTTTAATGACGTGCTGAAAGGGCAAAACGGAAGCATGTTAAATGCGGGACGCTTGTTTGAAATACAAGAATAATCACAATGGGAACGCCGCTAGGGAACAACAAGCAGCAGCTAATATTTGACTACTTGTAACGACTAACAGTAGTCAGTACTAGCTTATAACCGAATGGGACGCGGTGACTGCAGACTACGTGTTTTTGACGCAGCGAGAGCAGCTAAGGTAACACACACACACACACATTGGTTTTTTTCCAAGACTATTAAATTCTCCACAACACCAGTTCGCGGTGAGTAATCCTAGAGTAAAGAGTCAGTGACTTCAAACGGCATTCGGCAACAAAGTTGGCTGAGTACGTCACAGAAACCGATGTGATATGGCCCTGCTGCACGACAGCTCAACTAGTGAACTGAAATGATAGCACCGAGGTTTGGCAATTCTTCCAAAGTGGGGATTGAAGAGGTACAAGGTAGGTATTTGAGTTTGCGAGAATCAATGACCCAAGTCCTCTAAGTGGACATACTAGCGGTGCAAATTATTTCAGATTTGAACTGAAGGACACTGGTAGGAGGCACGGCAGCGTCAAGGTACAGACAAGAGGGGGTTAATATGGACTTCCCTGAGACAATCTGCGACCTTCCAATGAGACCATTCTAACACCACGACTGTTTGTGCAATGATTCACAGGATATGCCAACCAAGCTGGTTCAGACCATTTAAGGGTTCATAAAATTCGCCCCATAAACCTTGGACAAGGTCAGGAGAGGGTCAAGTAAGTCTCCTCGACTGGCAACAGAATTGTGCGTCTGTTGAAAACACTTGGATTTCACAGGCTGGACGACTTAGGCTACTGGGAGAAGTTGCCCCGTCCAAAGAACGCATTAAGGCAGAGTGCCCGCTAAGCGCGGATTTCTTGAGACGCAAACAGCACCTAGCTTTAGCCAGTAGTAAGAATGGCATCTTGGTGCTGTTCATGTTGTTACAACTCAGCCAACACTCGGTGCCAACAAAACACAGCCCATGAGACCCGAGAGAGGCAACATTTGTCCAAGTCGTGGTCGTGGTCACTTTGAGTGGTCAACAAGGCTAATCGGACGGAAGGAGAAGGTCGCGTGTAGGTGTTAAATGCGAACTTGCGTGGCCTCACGATCGAAAGCGGCGTGTATCAAGAAGTTTTGTGAGGCATACAAGAATTCAAACCAAGGCTTAGCGACCATGCAAGCACGCGCGCGCGCCCGCGCAAAGAAGGATTGACGAGGCAACCACTCAGCACAACGTGCCGTGGCAAAGAATAGTCATTGTGCATGTGTGTTGACCAATCAAGCTGCCAGGTTTTGGAGGCTGTTCGTAAAGTCCAAGCGGATGGCAGAGTAGCACGACCGAGAGGTGAATTTCCAGACCTGGAGAATCCCGCTCGGGACTGCGCATGAACCGCATCTAATCAATGGATCAGGCAACTGAGAAATTGTGAGGAAACCCGCCCAGTTTACAGGTACCCGCGTTTTATTACCGCGAAAAAGGGCGTAAATGTGCAGTACAAACAAACGGACGATAGTTGAGCGCGATAAAAGTTGCGCACGGCGCACAGATGGAACGAAATACGACAGGACGTCAAAAACGAGTTGGCATTCAACGAAGTCCCACGGAATCACGCAGCACGAATCAATTCCGACGCAGAGGATTGCTGTTCGTTTACCAGACAACTGAGGAGCTGCTTCCTGTGTGAATGCGCGGGCCAGGACCATCGTGCGCAAGAAGCTGCAGTGGGCGCTGAGTCACCAGCACACGTCGACATTAGTTAATGACGGCGACGGCGTGAGTGATTTGACAAGGCATGCCAAGAAGTGACTGGATGCCAGATGAAGAAGGGATGTGTGGCGCGTGATTGGCAAGTAATGGGGTGGAGGGGTAGGGTGGATAGGGCGAATAGTAAACCAACCAACCGACGCCAAAAACCCCGTGTGTAGGTGCTGTTCAGTCGACGAAAATGTCAGAAACAGCAGTCGATGGAGCAACCACGCGATTTGTAATCGAGGCTTCACGAATGGTTACATGCTACAACCACCACCATCGCTGCAGTTTTGAAGAGGACAAACGACAGGGAGATAATGGTTGAAATGACAACGAGGGAAATAAAAGAGATGGATGGATCTGTGAGGCGGGGATTGAAAATTACGACAGGTAAGCGCGGTTTGCTGTTGGCTGAAATGCACAATCAGTTCGTGAGAAGGAGGTCCACACATAACGAGGACAAGCGTCAACTTATTCGAAAAAAAGTGGAAGTAAATTAACACCAAGAACATATTCACACACACACACAGTGTGAACCAGTTCGAACACACACACACACACACACAGACACACGCCCGTATAATTGCCAAAAGAGAAAAAAGGTTTCGCGAAGATTTTACGGAGGGTGTTAGACAAACAATGACCACTAGCGCAAAATCACCGTCGAAAAAGAAATAAATTAGATGCAAAATTCAAACAGGTTGCCAATGGAGCAGCGGTGGCACGACGCGACAAGCTTGAACGGGTTTGGAACAAAGCATTCATCGGTAACCGATTTCTGAGTAAAGCGTCAAGCTTGCCCGAGGCAATTTAAAGTGACCGCTTGTTTCTTCCTGTGACGAACACGATACGCACACCTTAACTTGCTGTAAGACCTGCGAGAGCGTTGGCTTGGGTGCCAGATTTTCGGAAATTGCGCTCGTGCAACGTTGAATAGGCACTGAAAGGACAAGTAACTCTTTTCGAACAAAGACGATCGTTTGAGTCACTTTGAAACGACTTCCGAGGCTTGCTGAATGCTCATTTTTGTAAGCGGGACACGGGTGAACGCAAGCAAAAAGGGAAACATCCAATCAAATAACGCAGAGAAAGGGCGCCGGATTTGGAAAGACACGCGGACCGGCGCAAAGGTAGCATGAATGAACAATTAACCACTAGAACATTAAAACAAACAGTTGAGATGAAAAAACAACGACTAAACAGAGAAAAATGCTGCAGGCAGTTTACACTTAATGGATTCCTTGCCTATTTTAGTAAAAGAAATTGAAATACACCGTCTGTGTGCGACAGACGTACCACACAATACCACGAAAAAAAGAACCTTACGTTCAGGCAATGACAACATGGCTTCAGTTGGTTTCACGAGGCAGTTAAGCGTTTCGCTGGAGTGACTTGACGGCAAACACCCAGAAGTTTCTTTGGAAGGAGAAAAAAAGGGATATTTGAGAAGGCAAAACGCCAAACACGCGTTACAAAGTCCAACGCAGAATTAAACAACAACAAGAACAACGACTGAGAAAGGTGCGAGAAAATTTGGACGCTCGTTAAAACACGGGGAATCCGAGGACCTCGCGATGGTGGAAACACACCTCGTCGGCCAGTCGGCTCGACTATTCAGTGAAAGGCATACGGTGGACGGGGAATATGAGGCGCGATCGAATGACTCGACGCTAAGACAGCATTTCGTGTTAGCGCTACACATGGGGAGGGAAGGGTCGTTTCTAGGAGAGCCAAGACTGAAAACACTCGTCAAGTTAGCCAATAGAGGGACCATCGGAACACACACACACACACACACACGGCGCCGCCGTACACGTTAATAATGCAAATGAGGCCGTCGTGGGCGGATACACGAAGTGAAGACGCTGACAATGGTAAAATTGACGAAACGCGAAAACCACCGCACTGAACAGACGCCGAGGTGCCTAGATTGACGCGTTGACAGGTGCCCACAACAAGTAATTATGTTCGACGACTGAATAAGAGGTCAAAGGGTCAAGAAGGAAGCAAGGGAATGCGATTTTTGGCAGACTGGCTTCCCCTTCCAAGCCAATAGAAGTAATTAAAAATGAGTAAGAGGCCTGTAGGTGTTGGTAACTAGGGCTTACAACCACTAATCGAGGGGTCGCAACAATTTAGAGAGATGGAATTTCGCATGGAAAAAAACTGTTTTACATGAGGCCGATTGACCGGTCAACATCTGCGCAATTCACTGCTCAGAGTGGTAACAAGACCAAAGTCGGCATAACGACGGCGTGAATTGCAGTAAGCAAGGATGCATTCGACAAAGGCATTTGACTGCACCGCTTTCTAATTTCCGTTCGCGCAGGAAAGGACTGAAGTTTGGCTTGCAGAAGCGATCGAAAAAAAAACACTTTACGAGTTCAAAGTAACGACGCCGGTTGTTGTGAAAGGCACAAACTTGAAGGAGAGAAAGCCCATTGAAGGAAAACTTTCCTAAGGTTGGAATCCATCCATTGAATCAAAATTACGGGCCAGATGTACACAGCGACGACTCCGGTGAATGCAGCAATTACAAAAACGGTAGTGTTATGCGGGGTGCAAATAGACATGACAATTCCCGCATTCTGCACCGACTTGAAAGCACAAATCAAGGGAATGTGTGTGAACAGAAAAAAAATGCATCGCAGCAAATACTGACATTCAAAGAGCAGGAGGCGGTGAGCGGGTTTGCTCAAAGCACCGCAGATCGACTTTTGTTCTTCCGAAAAAGTACTCACTTTCTCCGATAACTGATAATTGGTTTTTACGCCATAATGACTTTGATAGTTACCGTAGATCTGACCCACTTGATTGTGTGTCTCAAGACAATGCGTGTATTCATATAACCATCACACAGATGCAATCGGGATTATGAAACTGGCAGTTGAGGTGTGTTGACAACTATATGTACAAGCCCATTTTTGATTGGCCAATCACACTGACCTCTAAATCAACGGCTCTACTGCGATTTGTCCTCACCGGGTTACTGGACACAGAAGCTGTTCTGTGGTTTATGTCCACTGCAACGACCCTGACACACGGCCACACTTCACTCGATTAGACCAAATGCTCTGAAGAGTGGAGCAAACACGTCCGCCGGCCACACGACGATGTGGTGTTGTGTGGCGCTGTCTTACCCTGACAGGGACACTAAGAGTGAGTTAGGACGACGCGGAGCGTGCAAGACAGGTAAAAAAGGGGGGTGCAGAGGTGGTTAGGCGACAAGTGAGGCAAGCCAATCCCAAGACCACCCAGGGCGGAAAGCGACGCTGGCGGTGGACAAGTTGTTGTTTGGGGAAAGTTGTGCACGCACACACGCGCGATAATAACCAGACCGTTTGACCTGGAAAAGGGCCCTGGTTAGGATGGAAGCACTGCGAAAATAAAATAACCGCGATGAGTCACTTTAAGTGCTAAAACCATTTACACACGTCGGGGCGTTTGGTTACGCGATGCAAGCGACGCTTGACGGGTATCGAACGTGTCTGGTAGTGGCAGCCGACTGTCCACTTACGGGAACCCTCACGCAGTATCAATTTAGGAGGTTGGAAATGGGGACTTAGCGGTAACACCGTGGGACACAGACGGGATTTGCTGGGCAGAGTAACGGTTTTGTTGAACTAATGCAACCGCAACGAACGACAACAAAGTAGGATAATGAAAAAAAAAACGGAACTCACCTCTGCTAGGAGAAGAGGCAATGCCGGGAGTAGAGGGGGTTGAACAATTGCTTGGGGCCAGTGAGGGGGCAGTGGGCATTCGACCGAGGATCCCCTTAACACTGTCGTCGGAGGAGGACTGGTATCTACGAGGGGGGAAGCGCAGTCTTAAAACAAGTCCGGGTTTTTGTTTGGCTGCTTGCCGGGCGGTGCCAAGGGCATTCTGGCTGATAGCTAGGGCCTGGGGTTCGCAGGTTTACGCATGAGAAGTTTTCTGTGTCCTCGTTACGTGATGCGACTCGACTTGTGTTCGTCAGTGGGGGGAGGGGAGGGTTGTTCTCACAGAAACGCAGACACCCAAATGGCGAGGTCTGGTGTGGTGAGTTTACGAGCTCACTTACTGGTGGAAAGAATCCGTCGGTTACGTGATCCGATCATGAGAACACGGTCGCATGAAGAACTTACAAAGAACGTCTGCGAGTTGTAATGAGAACACAGATACAACATCAGTGTCTAGATGGGAATTGTGGCGTTGGGACGTGCGGATCGTGAGTGGAGACCAAAAAATTAGAAGATAACGCGAGGCAACAATCTACAACTACGCCTAAGTCTCGAGGTTAGAGAAACGAAAGGCAGAACTGCGGATACCATGCCTTTCCTACGCAGTTCGCTTTGCATTGCGATAGCCATTAAATATGTATCAAACGACAGATCTGCGTTGCCCAACGAGCATGGAGTGGTTGAAGGGGAACCGTTAGCGCAAGGCGATGTAGGAGATTTTTGAATTGAAGGGCAAGCAGTGGAATCAGAGGTTTCACGAGCTCATGAGTTAAATTGTCAAAGCTTACCGCCCGTCGATACTCCCGTTGCCGATGGACCCGTTGATAGACCGTCCTGAGTCGCTGAGCAGCGAGGGCGCCCGATAGCCGCCACTAGCACCCGAGTCTGACGGAGGTTGCGACGGTGCCAGCTGCTGCTGCTGCTGAAGGGTGTTGGGCATTGCGTACTCACCGCGACTGCTAACATTGTTAACCGTGGGGACAGATGTGGGGGCGGGACCCTTTTGTTGAATGGGGACACCCACATAGCCCACAACATCAACCTCTTCCTGCAAATTAGCGAGAGAGACCAGATAGTGATATGACAACTCGTGTCCAAATGCCACAAGCCTACACAAAGCTAACGGACCCCAACAAATCGAACGTTTCAAGAAAACGGTGGTTTCTGGTTCAACTAACCGGACTAAAATGGACTCGCTCCTTGAGTTAGACGGAACAGAGCAACGGAGTCTAATTAAAATTACCCTTCTCGAACGATTAGGTTCAGCATAATTTGAATGATCATTTTGCGGCTGGTATTCCTGGTGTTGCAGCGGTTGTTGCTGACTTTGTGGCTGAGAGTAATGTTGCTGCTGTTGATTGTTATGGTGGTGATAGTGATTTGTAGGTCCATTGGTCGTCGGTTGTTGATGCTGCTGCTGCTGCTGCAGGTGTTGGGTTTGTTGCTGCCGCGTTAACTGCGACTCTTGTGGTTGCTGCTGCTGTTGTTGCTGTTGTTGTTGTGGCATCGACTGTTGGCGCTTCAGAGCAGCGAGCTGTTCAAGAGCAGCGTCAATGGCCGCAGCAAACGCCTCCGCCTCGTCTGACGACGCGAAACTCAATCCATAGACATGCTGCTTGGCATCACGCCACTGGTGAAAGTTGGGGCGGGCTTTGTGATAGTTGAGGCCTCGTGGTATTGAACAATTGATCACAACCTACAAAAATTAAACTGGCTGCGTATGACAGGCTTGGAGCAAATTTGCATGTACGTTGTGATAGACTTTAGCAGCCCTAAAGCAACCTTAAGTAACTAAAAAAGATGCTACAGAGAAGTGCGTTTAATGATTCAGTGAACAATTGTCGGCAGTGCTAGTTCAGACTGGAAGACGAGCACTAAAGTGGCAAGCAACAAAAATTGTGAGTCGATTTTGACCTGTTACAGGACGAAGAGAAGAGGATAGGTCATGTTTCGATTCGACGATTCTGTCTAATACACATTAATTTACAACTTAACTCTTCATGTACAGGCTACGCCTTTCTTTAAGGTCCACAGATGCTAACTCAAACCCATCCCGTCAGAGACGATGCATAACACCTAAGATTACGAGTTATAAATGCACAAATACAGGTCACACGATATTTTTTCACGATTTGTTCAAGTGATGGAGAAGTGAAGCAAATTGAATCTAAATAATGCCGCAAAATACCATGTATGCGGATTCGATTTCTGGACATGATACGTAAAGCGTACACCCAAATTGGGCTAAAATCAGGGTTATATAGTACAAAGCAGCCTTGCAACAAAGTATGCAGGGATGACTGATACAGGAAATTAAATATCGACCAAAGTACATCAAAAAGGTCCTGGAGCACTGAAGAATCCAAAATTAGTGTCTTAAGAGAAAAAAGTAGAGAAAACGTTGATTTTAGATATTCCACATCACTGGAGATGCTGTCGTACGAGTTGCACTTGTATACATGACGATTCATGCTTTGAAATAATCAGAAGCATGACCAGAGATGGGAGCCAAAAAAATTGGGAAAATTTGTGATTAAAAACAAAAAAAATTAAAAGCAACTGAATAGTGAGAACGAATAACCCCTAAGTATCAGTTATCAAGGCAGTTATAACTGTCAAGGAATGAAATCAACAGCTCACTTAATTAGAGTCGAAATTCAGTGGCATTTGTGAAGAAATGGAGTACCAAGGCATGGCGGTGGAACCAGAACCAGATGAAAATGTAACTCAATAATTATGATAAATAAATAAAAGCAACAATAAATCCATAAAATGGACGTAATTGAACAAGTAAGAATGTCAAACGGTTATAGGGATAAGGAACACGTCAACAACGACTAGGATGAGGAACAACTGACGGTAATTGACGACAGATAAGCCGACCGATTGTACTAAAAGTAAACGTACCTCACGGTCTTGTAAGCTCCATCCAACCACGCGGTAGGCATTTGTTGATGAGTTAAAGTAAAGTTGCACTTTAGCAAGGCTTTGTGAATTCCCACTGTAATTCCAGCAATTTGCCTTTGAGTCGTAAAGCATGACATGGGCCTTCGCCGTGGCCACAGGACGTTCACTGCGAAAATAAGATACCCACTTTCGTTAATTACCATGACTGCTTGATGCAAAGCGACATCTAATGAAGTTTGTCAAATTATTATGAACAAAGCTGCAGTAAATATCAGTCCCACAAATTCCAAACTTATGAAAGGTAACAGCTACGTCCTTATATCATAAAGAATCTGACAAAACAGGGCGATTATTATTTTGTAAATTCAGGTAATTAACCTCACAACTTAATGCTGACAACTGAAGAAAAGCTCACCAAGAATAACAATAAAATACAACACTCATTTTATTTCGATATTTATTCATTGCATTATGCAAAAAAGAAATAATAACAGTTTATTCTGTGTGGACAAGCCAACTTTGCGACAAATAAACATACCACATCTCTGAGGCTACTTTAAAAAAGGTTCAGACTATCCGCCTAGTTTTACTTCGAGGAAAAGTAAAACAATGAAGATAAAACGAACAACGGAACCCAATTTCAAAATTTACATTTTTCATTTGCAAAATAAGTGCTTTATCTATAGAACAATATGATAGTGAGAGTAAGCATCTTGATCTAACTTGATATAGGTGGTGATTTTGACAACAGTGCCCAAGTAGGCTGGAGTTAAACAGATTATATGGTTGAGTGTGAGCGGGCATAGCATCTAACTTATTAATAGGCTTGTCTTCTTTTCTTGTACATATTTTGTATACTAACAGAGTAAAAAGGTATTTGAACTTATCATTTCATGCTTGTTTTTGCTCATTCAACAGTAATTAAGTCAAGAACTATTAGCATTTTTTTTTCAATGGGCAATTATCATTTGGATTCGAGGTTTCATTATAAACTACGATGATAAAAAAAAACAAAATTAATGTGAAAATTGACTTTAATTCTACTATGCCACTCTGTCTTACATTGTTCATTTTGGCAAGGCAACTGACAGGGATTTGATATTTTTCAATACAAAATTTCTGGCGGGTAAAACAGTGCTATGCTTGGTAAATCATCACTTCTTGTGACTGCGCGCATGTGTGCATACATCTTTCGGATACGACTAATTTTCACGTCAGTGATCGAAGCCACGTTAAGTGCAGCAAAGTGGTGTCAAATAATGGAACTCATGAAAAAAAAACACTCAGGGCTAGTAACAAAATATAAAGAATGGCTGCCCAAATTTCATGCGGATTAGTTGTTTGTATGACAGATTGTTGTATTGAGAATTTTGGCTTAAATCTCTTTGACCGCAATTACGAATGTTACCTTAAAACTCTGGCAAGATCTTCGTGACCACGCTATTTTACCACAGGCTGATATGCACTTGCGACTTCGTATTACCATATCATGTTCTCTATCCACAATCACTAAATTAATGATTTAAGTGGGTTCTTCTTGTCAGGTTCTCTGGTAGTCAACAGAAATGTAGTTTGAATGTAACTTCCTAGCTTCAACTTTGTTGTAGTCAAGAATATTGGTTTCGTGAATCCAGGTAGTTTAAAAGCCCATCAGAATTTCTGACTGCCTTTTTTTTCAAATATTTTAAAATTAGGATGACTTGCCTTTGGTTATCTTAGTTTTCAAAGCGGTTTTCCTCAAATTGATGGTCCATGGAAGAACTTTAGGATCTTCTTAACTGTTTTTGTTATCCTGCATATATTTTCCATGAGAAGCCACTCGAGCGAGGCTTAGTACTTTTAAAACTCCCCAGTAAGGGTACTTTGTCTAACTACAGATTCTCTTTTTTATGTGATATCACCAGTTATAGTATTTGGTGCCGTTAGTGTGGCAGAAACACAATCCAGATTGTAGTTCTGTTACAGGGAAATAGTAGCACACATAGTTGTCGATCAGAATTTAGAATATATAAGCCTTTGAATTAACTTTTAGCTTTATAATGCGCAATAAACTGAGCCAACAAGATTTTAATTCAGCTGTAATTTCTGGCTCATCTTATCTTTAAGCCAAATATGAAATATTGCATTCAGCAAATCTTGGAATGTTAACTCCCTTTAATCTGCAGACGCATATTATGGTAAGGTTTAAACATTGAGAAGTATACTTTCAAGGAAACATGTGACCAAATGGGTACATATGGCCGAAGGCCAATTAAATCTCTTGGACATTTCAGATATTTAACGTTAACGTGATACTATAAGTTGTCATCACGTTTATTAGTCGATTTTTTCCGGCTTATATTGGTGTAAGTGGGTTCAGAGTTAATGGCATTTAAGATTTGCAGTGTTTTTGTGGATCCGATATAACTTACATGTTTATAATGCAAGCAGGAGTTAAGAGCGCTTCAGAGGCGTAATGAATCGTGCTGATTTACGACCACTAAGCCGGTCACCTCATTCTTCCACCTGTCGCCCGTCTTGTTGTGGGCCATGGCATGTGGCCTTGAACCACGCCGGGGCCACGGAATTAACCCTGGCCAGATTACGCTTGCCTGATTCCCGCGATGAAGGAAAAGACTGGAGAGGACGTGGACACAACCGTTTACTTCAGAGCTCGACCGAAACTGGTGTCGTTGTGTCGCGTGTGGGATTTGTGAGTCATACATGGGCTAACATCGAGACCCATGTGTGAGGATAATCCAATATAGATATCCGTGTGAATGAAGGGGGAGTTGAGGATTCACGCGGCTGGCGACATGCTGCGACTAGGGCAACCCTGTGTAGGATGTGGAGCGACCGGATTAGGGGGTTGAATAAACAGGATTCACGACAAGATAATAGGTCAAGAAGATACAACGGGACCGTCTGGTCATTCACCCCCGCACTGCCCATTCCATTCACCTGGCCACTTAGACTCAACGGATGCATTGCAAAAGCATTTGACGGTGATTATTGATGTCGAGTTGAGAATGAAAGTGAATCAAAGGTTCCAAAGACGTAAGTGGATGACAGTTAAGTAACCGATCAATTTTGTCAACAATTGAGGTCTCGATGTTAAGAAACGCATGGCGTCAAATTTACGGCACGGAGAACCCTACTAAGTTTTTTTTAGAATGTGACAGTTTGCACAAGTCATTGTCGGTTTAGAAACGTTTGCTGCGCTTTTGGCATCGTTGCGAAATTCTTAATCCAATCCACCACAAGTAAATCTCCGATATATTTTGTTTCCTAGTTAGATTACAGAAGTCATTGTAAAAAACAGCAGGATATTTTTATTATACTCATTAAAACATCGCAGAAAACATCGTTGTTCGCACTCTAGATTACCAACACAGATTAGCATAATTGATTTTTTGTACACCCACAAAATGAGCTGAAATTACACCGAAACACTAGCAGCTTGTAGACTTAAAATTAAAAGCCGATAAAGGAAAATTAATAAATTATGGGAAGGGGATCTTTTTTCTAAATATGCAAGTCCTCGTGGCACTAGTAACTACTACTAGTGCTTTCTGCCATTTTACACATCAAAATGTGTCATACGGCGGCTGCTTTATCTAACTGGACTAATCCCAGGATTTGTAAAATTACGAAGCAGGTCTTCCACCTGACGCGAAAGGAAGAACTTTTTAGAAATCAAGGACATTAGTTGGCTCATAAAACCGAGTCTGGTAAAACTACACCAAGGTGCACTTTAGTAGAAACTACGGTTGTTAGTGAGTGTCGGATTTAAGATGTAGTGACAGGCTTTTGTATCGTGAAAAACACGCCTAAATAACGGTTCTAATTAGCTACTGGCACTGTTGTCATCAATACGTGATGACAGACAGTCCCGATTTTTTTTGAAAAACCTTCCCAAAAAGCATGAGTAAAATAAGCCAATCAAGATGCACCTACAAAAGCCTTTGGACCAATCACAAGAGATCTTGGTCAAAGATGTTCAGTGATTTTGACAACCACAATCGACCAAGCTTGGTCTTAACAGACACTCCAACAAAATCCGTCGTCAACTTGAAGCTGACAGTTTATGTCTTATGCCATATCTTAAGCGCTAATTCTCGCAATATGAGTCGAGCGGGAACCAATGAAACATCTTTCTTGGGAAATCACGATAGTTGGTCGTAGATAATTTTATGATACGCATTCTTTGTATTCATGGCATTTTTGGCTTGACCACAAGCAAGAGGTACCCTAGGAAACCCTATGCATAACAACGCGTGCCTCTGTTACGGTCGTTTGAATTAGTCTAAGCAGGCTGAATAAAAAAGCACTTCCATTGATTTCTGATAGATCAGGTCACATCTTTGTGCTTCAAGAGTCCAAACTTCTCCCAGCGGTTGGATTAAGGTCTCCTGTCTTGTCCAGTCTCAGCGTTATTACTCGCGGCACTCTTAAATTGCCAATAGCTGCCCATGAATCGCGTCATTTCGCATAAACTCTTTCCAAAGTGGAAACGTCGATCGTTTCTTGGTCGGGTAAACTAAAAGAAAAGGCAAATTTTACTCCTATTTTAAGCAGCAATAAGGGAATTTGCTAACAGTCGAAGCCGGATTTGTCGCATAAATCAAAAGCCATATTTTAAAAGGATATTTACTTTTGGAATCCTTTGGTAGCATTAGTCACCTTTAATCAAACTTGCACGCATAGAACCATTTAAGAGCTCCTGAGATGATCAAACAAATTTTACTCTAAGTGGTCATTTTAAGAGCATCATTCTACCTACCGGTAACATGTGTGTTCATGCGAACATCACCACAAATATCCTAAACACGCACACAGCAGATTTAAACCTATTGGTCTTCTCAAAGCCTTAACGGGATTTTTAATTTCTTATTCTTCATAACAATTGTAGAATTATGAAAAAAACATAATTTAAAGAGCAAAGGAAAGCAAGTAAATTTGTTGGTGCCAACTAACGTGAATTATAGTCATTTCGACTTGTCCGACTGACGGCTTATGCTGGACAGTCAAATGAGGAAAGCAAATTATCAGACATAAGATCAAAGTAGGTTGTTAATAATCTTGCTATTTTGCTTAAATTTCATTAGCCATGTTACCCTCGTAAGTAAAGCTACCGCATGGCAAAGCATTTACATATTCATTCTGGTGAGAGGTATCGTTGGCTAAATTGATTTAATTTAACATAA